ATTAGTATGTAGCTGAAGTTGGTGACAATGTTGGTATCATCATCAATCAATCCTTGAAATCTCAATCAGTCCTTGTATTATCATTTTTCTTGATGTACTCTCATTGTAAGGGACGATGGGCACGGTTCCCAGCACGTGCTACTGGCCACGAATAGATCGGAGGATGTTTTTTTTTATCTTTTTTTTTTCCGACAATCATATCTCAATACCGTTGCTCTTTAGAGAAACAAGTGGAGCTGGCGCGGTGATGCTTCGACAGACTGGAGAGTAAGAAATGCATCAGCGAGGTCCTGGAGGAAGATGGCTAGAAAGGAGGAGGAAGGAAACAAACAAATCGGCGCGTTTATGGGCTTACTCGTGCAAGGAGTTTTTTTTAACGCAAAGAATCGCAAGTGTCCGGAGTCGTTGAACCGGGTAATGCCCTTAGCTATATACTTGTATTGGCATATGCGTATGAGAACTCTGGAAACTTCCTAGGCACGACGCGGCCACGACTCGGCGACCGAACCTTTCTGGATTGTGGTGCAAAAAAAAAAGAAAAAAAAAGAAAAAGATGTGCAGGTCATATGGAACTTCATCGGTGCCACCTCCTGCCGGATTTCTCTTGGGCCCGCATGAAGCGTTCCACGGGGCCCGAGTTTGCTTTATAAGGAGTATGCCCACACGAAGCGTTGTGCGGGGGCTGGGTTTTTGCTTTTAGGGAATTTGTGTTATGGTACGTTATACCCCTGAAAAGTGAGATATATGCCGAAATATCCCTGAAAGATGGTGGTACAATGGTATACCCTTCAGACAATTAAAAATCTTTGCAAAATACCATTTTTTTTGGTTGGACCAACCATCTTTGCAATAAACCCTACCGGGTACCGGTCCTACTTTTCAAAATGCCCCTGTACATGTTAGCTTTCAAAGGGCCCGACTATCAGTTTACCTCTACCAGGCTGCGGCATCTTTTCAATACACCCCCTTGGTCGGTGAGCCCAATTGATTTTCAGTTTACCTCTCTCTTTGTCTGCCTGCCTCTCTCTCTCTCTCTCTCTCTCTCTCTCTCTCTCTCTCTCTCTCTCTCTCTCTCTCTCTCTCTCTCTCTTCTTCCATGCCAGTTTGACCTTTGC